AATGGTACGTGTAAGGCTAAGCGTGGAGATATGCGTAAAAGCCGTGTAAGTTGGATTCTGTAAATAGGAGGGTTCCGTGTCTAGGGGGATTGTGAATGTTCTTCGTTATGCACACCAAATTTTTTTAGCATGAGGTAATGCGGATTAAAATTTCTGGGTTATGTGGTTTCTTCTGAACCGCTGGCATAGATGAATACGTATATAAGTACAAAAGCTTAAAATGTGTTAATGTATCATATATTAATGAATAATTAATCGGGCTCCAGTTCTAGTGTTCACATGTAGCCGCAGAAATTCGAGATCGCGTATTATATTTTCTGGATTGGGTGCGAAGATGTCAGCTTTGAATTTAGCATTGACGTAAATGCATCTTGATAGTATAATACGCATAGGTTATGGATGATGATTTAGCCGGGCACCCTACGCCAGATATACTAGCAAACATAATACTGAGCCTAGACAAATATCACCGAACTCAGTCTACCTGAACAAATATAGATTTCATGTTCTTCGGAAAGTTAACAAAAAGCGATCCAAACCACCAGAAATAAACTTTAATCTATCTTTCGAACAAGGAATTCTACTGAATTCTTGAAACAATGTACCTATTATTCTTGGTCAAAAAAGAGGACGCACATCAGGTGGTTTGCACCCTAAGAGGTCCTACCAGTGCTTCAACTGGGTTTCGTGAAATAATAGCTAGAGGATTTGTAATTGTCTTAATTAAAAAAGTGGCATCTCAGTGAGGCATATGAGGTGAAGATGACAGTTGCAAGAGGCTGTCAACCGTCGCCGGAGACATCCCTGACTCTGGTCAACTAGAAGATCCAACTAACCATCAGTTGAAATGACACGATAACACTGGAGTAGTTGGACTCTGTGGATGACTTATTTCTAGTGCCACACAAACTAGAATATGTTTTCAAGTGTTTGTATGCCGGGGTTTGATTGAATTCAGGCTTGATTACGAAGTGATGTCAGTTAGAAAACCGTAGGAAAACCAAAAATTAATGGATGGCCATCTTGCCCTCCTTTGAAACTCTTCAGCATTATGCACACACTGCAGTTAAAACCCAGTGTAACAACAGAAGACAAGGGCCAGGCAACAGATCGTTTATTATGAAAATCAACACGTATTTATACATATTTCACATACATTATTATAGACAAGCACAGTCATCTGATTGGTTGTTTATCAGAAGTTAGGCAGACAAACGCAGGCTTCTGATTGGTTGTTTCGGGATTCCTCGACAAATAGAGTTCTCTATCTGCGAATCATATTTTGCCACGTTAACTTTGCTGTGATTGGTTGTTGACTCAGCCTTGTTCATATATTCTCACGGCCCATATTAACGTAGATTAGTGTCAACCAATCGGCTGGCAGCCTGCTCTTGCCACACCAGGACTTTCTAGTTACAGGGCAAGATCACAGACCAGCCAGCCACTGAGATTCGATCCAGTGGCCCATGAATTCTAACCCCTGCCAATATATGGTATATATATTATATAATACATATAGCGAAACCATCAGGAAAATACTTAGAGTTCCAGTGGGAATTCGTTGCCAGCGGCGACCACAAAGTCTCGCTGGGAGACAGTTACTCGCCCATAGCACTGGCTGGTGGTTGCGTTAAGTACACATATATATTTATGTTTTGCAAATGGACACAAGCTGGGACACATGGGCCGTTGAATCAGATCCCGGTGGATGAATAGCCCATAAAATTGTCGTGTGAACGCAAAGCACTGAGTCTGAACCCCAAGGAGTGCATGTTATTAAGAGAACCAAACACGACGAGACAACTACCTAATGCCCTCTGGATTTCCCATGGTTATCTGGCTGATATTAACTGGTGACCCACATCTAAACTAGAAGACCAAACGAAAATAAACAAGTTGGTAGACGAACTTCCTATAAATACACCTCAAAAGAACAGAGAGGTGAGGCAGTGGAAATAGATAACCGACAGAAACGAACACTAGTAACTGCCAATGGGGAAAAATTCGGGGAATTTCACTTATTTCAGTCATTCGGACAGCTTCGTTCCACTTACAGGAGCCGCAAATGAGGATGTCAGCCAACTCTCATAAACTGTCAATGTTCGGCTCTTAATACGCTCAACCTCACGCTGTCCCTCGAAGACTTTCAGAAACACTTTGTGTTAACCAACGCGAAACCAGAACAATGATTGACGACTCAAGAAACCTTTATTCTTACGCCAACAATAATACTTCTGACAGTTTTTTATCCTCGACTGAACAGCGAGCGATGAGACGATGACTGTTAGGTGGATGGCTCCCGCGAAAAATATGAGGGAGTTGGGTTTGAGCAGACAACCACGAATTGATCGTTCAATCTTCAAGTACATTGACAGTGTTTGTTAAGGGCATAATAGGAAAAGCAAGACGCCTTCATTAACCTGATATCTGTGTAAAAATTTACAGTATTCGGCACCAAGAACAAGATCTGGATATCTGTTGCTGAAGTCAGTTCATTGCCTTAGTAAGATTCGGGGGCCTGGTGCGTCTTAGACTTTCAACAGGAATCATTTTCACCGGATAATGAACATTTGATAGCCTGTCAGAAACCACAAGCAACAAGAAACCCCAAAGGAGAAGCACACAAGGGCTTGTCACCTAACCAACATGCGAGAGGAAAAATGGTTGTATTGAGCACGGGCTAAGGGGGCCGCTAGGTGGCTGCTATGACCGAGTGGGTTTGCACGGGGGCACATATAAAACTGTGCGCGACGATCAGTTCAACTAAAATAATACAGGAGGTTATTTCTCGCTTCAGCCAGCAACACAAATATCAGAATACAAAGACTGGCCTTTGACACTACGTTTTTCAGGGGAAAACACGTCACAATTGTGCATTTTTAACCATATTAAAGGGGTAAAGAAGTGATTATGATTGGTTGGTAGTTGGTGAAAAGTGAGATAGCGAGATGTAAAGTCATTTCATGTCTACGTTATAAACTGGACTCACATTTAGCAATTAAAAACGCCCGTCTTTGTAACCATTGGCCTCAAGTGATAACGTCAATTTCGGCCGCTTCCTGTCAGTGACCTTGAGTGCAAGGTCCTGGATTGACACTGAGAGTGATACGACCAGACTGACGTCCGATGGTTATATGGAGGCAATAGAGACAAGCAGAAATCAAAGTTAACGTGCGTCCATAGAGTCATCTAGAAAGGCTGCAGAGAATGGACGGGATCGAGATGCTCTAGATTCCATTTAGTATACCAGGAAACAATAATATAATATATACTATCGTTGAAAGTTTTGCTATGTCATTTAGATATTAGTACGTATTCAACCGTAATTGACAACGATTTACACTGATCTCTTCGTAAAACTCAGCCGCACAAATCTTTTACACTACTAATATGAATTTATGCGGTACGTGTGTAGGCAGTCAAAGAAGTTCGTCAGGCCAAGTGGACCAGGCTAAAATGTCAGCAGGTATTTTGACTCGAACTGAGGTTTAACATGAATGATTACCATGAAAAAACCCTGAGAAATTTTTCCAGTAGAAGCCAATCGGAAATGAACTCAGAGTCTTTCAAGCAGCGTAAATGGCAGGTTTCCTAGAAGTTATTAAATTCACAAAGCGAAAACAGAGTTCAGAGCAGTGTTGAACCAGGCGTTTGTATCTTTTCATTCAAGGGCTCTAGCCATCGAGCTGTGGACGCACCACTCTTTCATGTAACAGCTGGTAAACTGTGCAACACTGACTACGACATTTTGTTCGACTGGTCATCTTTTCACAGAAGATGAGGCTAGGAGAGGCTGCCGAGTCAGACGAAGCAAAAGCTGAGAAGCTCTCCCAATACCTTCGTGATGTTTTCTCGCCCAGGGGTGTAGCGAGGTAACTGATGTAGCCCCTAAAATGCCCCCAGTTGTGGTAGATGATGCAGTGAGTCTCAAACTACTGTCTCAGTTGAAACCAGGTTAATCACCTGGACCCAGCGGATCTCACCCTAGATTGCTAATCTCCGAGGAGGATATAATATACATTCCACTTACGGAGATTTTTCAGATGTCTCTGACCCAGGCTAAGCCACTCAGCAACTGGAAAGATGCTTTTATAAGCCCCATCTTCAAAGAGGGGAACAGACAGTTAGCATTTAACTACCGGGCCGTAATTCTGACATTCATCATTGCAAAGGTGTTAGAAAAACGCATAAGGGATCAGCTCTGAGCTCATATGGAAAAATGGCTTACTTGCATTGAAACAGCATGGATTCCGACCAGGACGATCCTGCTTGACAAACTCATTGTTATCTAGGGAAGATAAGGCCGAGGCCAGGGATAAGAACTATCTGCTGGACGTTGTCATTATCCATCTTAGTGAAGCATTCGATAAGGTACCCCATTCAGGTCTTCTTAGTAAACTTAAACATTTTGGATCAGACCAACGCTTATTTGAATGCTTCAGTGACTCACTGAAGGATAGGAGGCAGATGGTAAGGGTTAATGGTGTACTGTCATATTCAAGGGTGATTTAGGGATTGAAATTTCAGGCCTTTTCTCTCCCTCTATGATACATTTACGTAAGCACCAGAAGAAGGTGCCGGAATCTACGTCGAATAAAATACGGCTGGAATTTAGATTCTCTCACATAGAGGTCAACGACTGGAACCCCTTACGTGATTCAGTAGAAACAGCTTCATCGGTGAACGCTTTCAAAGGGAAACTGGATCTCTACAGAGGTATGTGTTGCAAGGATTAACAAAAGCAACAAGAGCCTTCTATCCTCATAGTCTGAATCTGAGTTTATATGATGACAGCCCGAAATCTGTCAGCGTCGTCTACTCAGATTTGTCAGACTATCTAGGGACATGCTTTACATATGTTCTTTCATGAAATAGGAAATTTTCAAATTTTGATAACTTCGTACTTGTTTTGAAAAGGGACTAGTCTTCGGATAAGAATTGATATGTTTATTGTTTAAGCCAACTACTGGAAGAAGCGGTATTTTCCAACTTGTTGTCACATGGACTTATTTAAGCAGTATACAGTTAAGGTCTTGGATTCATGGACAGCTCTACGTCTTGGATTAAATCAAGAATCTGGAGGTCCTAATACACAGCAAAAGATAAAGACTTTATATGAATATTTACCTCAGGTTGTTTCGAAGTCCAAATACGATGATGAAATATGCGATTTCTTAGAAGATTATCTGGATGATGAGCTGAACATAATATGTGAGGATAACTCATACGAAGAAGTTGCACATCTTTTATTTGAGGCGATACAGTTGGTTCGTAGCAAAAACACCACTGAACTGCAAAATAAGATCAGTAATTTGACAACGGGTTGTGATCTCAAACAGTGTGAAGGTAAGATAGTAGCAGCAGAAGAGGTGGAAGTGGACGAAGAAATGGAGGGATCATCTGGTACAGAGTCTGAATCAGAAGGCGAAGACGTTATTGATATGGAATAGGAACTGCGTATTTGGATATTGTGATTTATTTGTACATATTTATCAGTTATTTGCCGATCTTGTCTTCAATTTTGCTACTTTGAAATATAGAAAAGATGCACTGAACTTGCTATCAATAACTTGTTCTATAAACATGTCCCTTATTCTAACTCTCTTTTGGGTTGCTTCGTCTATGGGTATTGGTTTAATTATTGTGCATCTCTTGCCCAGTCGTTAGTACTCTAGTTCGCAGAATACAGCAATGGTAATCCGAGATTCAGGGGGTGTTGGGTGAAAAAGACCACAGCCTATAAAATTAGGACGTATATTTTGAACCTGTGCGTCGGTGGCACAGTGGTTAGGACTCTCGCCGACCATGCACATTGTCCGGGGTTCGAGCCACGTCGGCGCACACCTGATATCTATGGTCGGCCTGCGAAATTTGGGCTACCGATATCCATGCTGAAAATTCCATACTTGTACCAAAAATACAGTGTGGAATCAAGCTGTAAATCAAAATAAAAAAAATCAAATTAATTAAGGAATTAGTCAGTTTTCTATGCCAATCAAAATAATATATCCAAATGCTGTGGGAGCATTTAGGTGGCATACTAGTTTAAACCCATGAAATTCGTCCTTCACAGCTGAGTTTTTCTCACTAGATTTTTTCTTATCTAGTTTGCAGATAGTTTTGGTCAATGAAATTGATCACAAGTTCTCTTGTGTCACGTCGCATTGCACTTTTTATTCATTTTTAAATGAAGTGTCACAAATCCAAGTGACTTTCAGTCTTTTATTTTTAGAGTTGTATTGCTTTTGGAAACTACCACATCGTCGTCTAAGAACTATAAGAAAATTAATGCGTATTTCAGTAGTTATATAACTGCATTTCGACAAAGCATCCCAAGGTCTGCAAAATATTCAGGTAACAGTTTGTATGTATGTCATGGCGTCCAAAATATCATTGGGCCCTAGTGCATGCTATCATTCGTCGCGACCAATAAACTAACAGCATGGTTCCCTCCTCACCACCCATTGGCAACGTGGATCAGTTTTCTTTACATAATTACGAGTGTGGTGAAACGTCTCAAAGGTATCTAATCTTGCTACTTCAGAAATAAGGTTTACACATTCCTATGATGAACTTTGACGAATCAGTAGAATATCGTTATCAACTAGCATTCACTGGAGTCGAATGTTATTGGTGCCAGTGGTTTCCTTGCGAGAACCAATTCTTTGCTTTTTCACTGCTTCCATGATTAGATAGACTCAGGACTGTCAGTAATTGACATAGTTTCCTACCTGATTTTTAGTATACCAAGAGGTATTTCATTTATAAGTTCTCACAGATGAGTTTGTCCGTAAGATAAAATATGAATATCAGCAATCCGAGTAACTACTGATAGGTAGTAACTTCAGGGAATGTTAACGGTTGCAAGCCGACTTTCAATGAAGTCGGCACATTTTATTTTCATGATGATGCTTAAGAATTGGTCTTTTCAAGCGACCGTAAAAAAGTAATGTGGCTGTTTGTGTTGAATATCTATACTTTATGTCGTCCTCATAATCATCTGACACTGGACATACATGTTCTGCTTTGCTTCGCTGTCATTGATCACACTTTATCTCCCTGTCTTTAATTAACATTGAGCGTATCTTATATAAGGTAGGTGTTTAGTCGTAACAACTGGTTCATCAGGATAGCGTCGAACTTTTATTAAATAGATTGCGAGTTCATATTTTGTCGAAGGAGTCTGAAGTATCATAACTGGTCTTATGTTGAATGTGCTTTATTGTCTATTATTACGTAAATATCCTTACCAGGCATCATTTAAATAAACTGAAGATAAACAGGGAGCAGTCTACGCCTGTTTCAGAAGTCACACACTACGAGGGTGACTTGATCTCGTCCTGCCTAAGAGCACTTGGGCCAAATTTCACTTTGAATTTATAAAAAACGAGTTGCGCGAAATGTTTCCATTCGAATGATCTTCGTCTAAGCTCCTAGGCTACCGTTCTAAATTGTGTACCTAATGACGATGGGTTCATCAACAGTATTTACGAACCCAAGCTACTAACCGTCGGTCGAGTTGTCATAGTTCTAGTGGTACTAAAAAAATTGTTGCATAATCAGTGGCTGGAGAAATCGGGTATTTGTAAGATGGTGAAGACATCAACGGAATAATATAAGTAAATAAATACTTTGATCTATTGAATGAAAAGTGAAAAGTTTGCTTTGTAAGCTACAACCGTTTATACTTTATACAAAAGTATAACAGGTTCTTTTGTTAAATGAAGAAGACTCGCACAGTCTGTTTGCCTGCAACGGTCACTAGTAATTACCGGTGCGAATTAAAACGTACGTTTTCTTTACTTAATCATGATAAGTGGTGCTTACCAATTCGGCGATAGATCTGTATTATTTCTCAGCCTACATACGTAAGCAACAGAAACAGTGACGCTGAATTATTTTCATGAAAGGCATTCCAGACAAGTTTACCAGTGAGATTAGAAATAAGTGTAGCCTTCTGATGAACGCGATTGATTTGATTCTATGACGAGAAGTATACTTACATTATTGTTTTCTTAGGACTATAAAAGTGTTATTCCTTCTAGGCGAAGAAGCTGACAATATGCAGAGTCTTCTGAACACCTTGAGCTGCAACCTACGAATGTTTGGCATGCGATTCGCTCCTGCCAAACTGTGACATAATGTTACTGGACTACACTGACTCCTAGTTTGGAAATAGGGAGTAAAGGGGTAGGGCACGTTGACCGCTTCACTTATTTTGGGAAGTACCATCAGCCACAGCCTGCGGATTTATCTCAGACGAAATCTCAGTTTCGCATATGTCAGTTTACACCGTCTCTGGCGTAAACGTGATATGTGGCCTTCGACCAAAGGCGAGTGTACTGCTCATCAGTCCGCTCCGCCCTCCTTTATGACTAGCTGTGAGACCTGTCCATTGAGACTGGAAGACATGAAAAGATTAGGTGTCTTTGATCATAGGTGCCTGCGTTTTATCTCCTGTGTGAAGTGGCATAATAAGGTGAGAAATATTGAGGTTAGGCATTGATCGAGTGCTAGGTAAGAAGGGGAAATCAATGGACGAGGCTGTGAAGTTACATCGACTGAGATGGTTAGGAAATATGTTGTGTATGCCTAGCCATCGCTTTCCTCGACAGGCGAGCGATGTTAGCTGACAGGTGTGATCAGGCTGGAAAAGAGCTAGTGGCGGTCAAACCAAAACATGGCCTTATCAGTCAATGAAATCCACAACAGTTAGTTTAAGCTAGCCAGCCATGTAGGAAAATGTAGACTTCCTGACTGGTTGGGGTCCTCGGGACGGTAAAAACCAATGAATGCTGGAGACAATTGGTGATATGGCTCAAAGTGATCGTTCTCAATGGCTGGTGCAGATGCATCCACTCCTTGTGGCTTATGATTTCCAATGTCCTTCGTTATTACTATTCCTTTGTCTCACACCTCTGTTTACTGTCTCTATTATACATTTCTTCTCTTGATTTGTATGCCATATGGAGGGAGTGTGGCGACTTGAACTGCCGTACATCGGTGCAACGTTCTATGTCGAAAACAGAGATACAAAGTGTTATTCACGTAGGAGAATAATTGGTTGTAGTCAGCAAAAGCATACAAAAAGAAGGATGAATTGATACTACACAAAAATGAGTGCAACGAAGTAGGGAATCGTTGGTTGCTTTCACTGTCATCAGTTGATACTAACACTATGTTTAAGGAACTCAGTGGACTTATTATATTACAAATATCTTTCAAAATGGAGACACAAATCCCCAATTTTACGGACATCTTCGGAGCCTTTAACACATAGCTAGTAAAAACTACCGGTCATATAATTGTCCCTCTGTCAAAACTAGTGGTGTTAATTTTTCAATTAAAGGTGGTGAATTTCTCTTAATGAACCCTTGCTGAATAAATATGTGCCGGTGAAGTGGAGGTGCTTCACCTCTTCCTTAAGAGGGAAATTTGAAATTTTCATTCACAATTAACATCTGAGATCTATATTGAGGGTAGTTAGAATCTTTATAGCGAAACCACAAAAATGGTGATACTAAAGTCGCACCAAATAATGGATTGTTGTCTGTGACACCGTTTAATCTGCACTATCCCCACTGAAAGGATCGATAAGGTCCAGCCGCGTCATAAATCTTAACCTCAGTTGCAGATGGACTATGTACATCACTAGATACTCGGAGACTTAAGTCGATGCAAAATTCCGTCGAGCTGCTGATCAAATAATTTATTTTTGAGACGTGAAAACTGCATGATTCCAATACAGGATCATTCATTCATTCTCAAGTAAAGCATAACCGACCTGGATAGCAACCATCAATGAAGCAAGCTGTGACATGAAATACAATCATGCTCCTTCTAGTAGATCTCCAAATCTATTATAAATTATGAACTGTCAAGTGAGATACTAAAATTTAAAAAAAAACTAATGCTGAAAAAATCTATTTACAGTTATACAACATAATTCTCAAAGAATCACACTCTGCTTTATCAAGCACTGTCACTAGCAGCTAGTTTTAAATAATAATTAAGCGAAATATTAGGTTTCTCATATTTTTCAAAATCCAAAAAGTTCAAATCCCCATCTAATGGGACAGAAGGTAGACTATCCGTTAGCTTGAAGAAATTCCTTATTGACTGACGGAGGGCTTCTTCTTCCGCGATTAATACAGTCTCACCGGGAGCTATTGTTCATACAAATAAAAAATCGATAAATGAAAGAATCATTGATAGGAAAGACACAAATGTAATCAATGCATCATATATTCAAAATATACATAGATACTGTTGGTCGATTTTTTACTATGACCACAGCGTACTAGGTAATAATAATTTTTGCTTTATTCCAGAAACAGTACTAGTGGTACAGGGTGGAATTTTTAGCACATATCTACAATATTGCATCTAATTTCATCGCACATTTAAAAGGAGTATTACAAAAAGTAAATATAAAAACAAAAAGCGAAAGTAAAAAATGCGAAAATATACCAAGAAGTAGAAAGGAAAATAAACAACATAAAATAGTATCTCAGTATTGGGTAGTGGAAGCTATGATTTGTTTATGCGTGGTGACAGTAAAGCTATAGTCATACAAGAAGTTATGAAATGATATTTAAAAGTGTTTATTGCCATGATGGTCAGTTAATTTGATTGAACAACACTAAACAATCATAAAATAACATTTCGGGTTTTCTATTGTCAGGTCTAATGCGGTGTTTGTAGTGGTAGTGTGAGTAATCCTGCATAATACAAAATTTTTTAGATGGTGATAACGGTGTTCACAAACAAGATTGTCAGTTTAATATTGCCGAACAAAAAACAACCACAAAACTAATATTACGTGATGGTTAATGACAGGACAATTTTGTAATACTGATAGTGCTAATATAGTCGGAACCAGTAGATATACACAAAAGAAGGAATAGAGTAAAGTACAAAAAAGGAAGTAAGCCAATGTTAATGATTTAGGTAGCTAAGTATGTTTAAGAAGATTGTTCACTATAGAGTACAAATACGAGAAAAATAAAAGCCAAAATTATGTTATTGACAACAAAGCAAGTCATAAGGTTTCGCGCTTAACATTGTCTCTTTCACTTAGAACACGGGCTCCAAATATGGTATCGTTGAGTTCCTATACTTGGTTGTACGAGCATATATTATTTTATGCTGATTTCTGGTTCTACCTGATGTGATGCGAGGAGACAGTTGGGAATAGAGGGGGTGTTGGGAGTCGGAGATTATGGTTTTAGACTATTTCTCGCATGTATTCAGATGCCTTTCTACTAATGTAGTGACGAGCTGACTCAGTTTTACACCAGTAGTCTTACTAACTACCTTCAACATCCTTCTCAGGATGGTATAGTCCTTTACAAGTAGCCCAGGAAAGACTAACGGGGAGCAGTAAAGTAGAATAGGCAAGATACGAGAGTTGACAAATTGTGAAAGTAGAGATTGGGTGATTGCAGATAGTCTAAGTTTCTTAATGTAGTAGGCTAGACGGAACACTTTCTTAGAAACCGTTAGGAAATGAGATGACAATGTAAGGTCGGAAGAAAGAACTACACTGAGGTATTTAGCATTAGACTTAGTTTCAATTTTAGTCCCCTCAATGCTACAGGCTTCATGAGTGCTTACTAGTGTTTGTAGATCTCGTTTATGCCTAAAGGAGAAGTCAATAGTTTGGCGTTTTGAGGGATTCAGCATGAGGCCATTTATTTTAAACCACTGACTGATGTCCAACAGGAAGCTATTTAATCTGAAACAGTCTGACTGTGACTTAACAGGAAGCGAAACAATCAGGTCATCTGCATATTTGACGAAGTTGACTTCGTCTGAGAGGTAAGTCATGTAAGAAGAAGGGAAACAGAAACGGAGAGAGAACAGCACCCTGAGGAACTCCAGCTTCAGTAAGCAAAGGAGAGGAAGCTACACCATTATATACCGTGTACTGCATCCTATTAGAGAAGTAAGAGTGCAGCCAGTTGATGATAACCCCGGATTCAGTTTGTGTAAGGCTAAGCTTGTTTAACAGAAGGCCTCTTGGTACAGAGTCGAAAGCAGATGTATAATCACGGAACGCACAACGGACATACTTGGCTCCTTTGTCTAAGGAGGATACAATGCTGTGATGAAACACAGCAGCAGCGTCTAAAGTACTTCTACCCTGTTTGTAAGCAAACTGCTTTGGATCATTTGAGAAGCTTAGGGAGGAACAAGTTTTAGTAACAATAATTTCTCCATTAGTTTCAAAAAAGGAGAAGTAATAGCGATAGGTCTAAACTTATTGCTGTGATTGATCAGACTTCACTTTAACCTAAATGCCCGCCACTAAGAGTTTGTCGGACACATTTGTTATTTCTAACTTTATATGTTCCCAAAGTAACGTCAGTTACAGTGACGGTACAGGCAGAATTATTTTTGTATTTTTAAAGATAAATACAAGCCAAACTACGAATGCTTTAACTGTCATGAAAACTGTGTTAACACCTCATTTTAGAGAAATTCATGTAGTTAGATTACTTCCCTAGTTTTTGGATTCTATTAGTAAAGGAAGTTTTCAGATAAATATATTAGTCACTTTTGATACTACCCTTCAAAGGAAGTGAATTTAGTACACCTAGTAAAGGGTACACTGGTTTTCATTAATTGCTAATCTACTTGTAAGACAAGTCTTATTTTTCTTCAGACAGTAAGTGGTGGAATGCACACTTCAATTATCGTAATGAAATTAAAACTCATCATTAAGGGCAAGTAAAACCGCTAAAATAAACCAGCGATTGCCATATACTAAATGCAGGATACTCATCACATGAAAGCTGAAAATAAAGATTGGTTGTTCCAGACTGTCCCAAATTATCTCAGTAAACAACAACAATTCCCAGACTCAGAAGAGAAGACGGTTAAAGGTCAATGCGATTATAGCGGATCAAAGAAGCCTGACTCACAACTAACCAAAAAAACCATTACATCAGTATCCGTGCGTTGGTGGGACAGTGGTTAGGACGCTCACCGACCATGCACATGGTCCGGGGTTCGATCCCTGGCCGACTGGCGCACTCCTTTACCTCGCTAAGCCAGAAATAACGCTGGTAAAGAGGAAAGGCTAGCAACCCATCCTGTAAAATTAAACACTACTACAGAAACTTCAAGACACTAACTTGAGGCGCTATGTTCCACTGGGAAAGTGAAGGAAAAAAACATCAGTATCCAGGAGAAAATCCCTATAAATACTCATGAAAAATGTATAAGAGTACCGAAGATAACATTAAGATTGAAATCAAAAGCTCTAATAATAAAGCCGGAGACCCCCAGAAAAACTACCAGGATATTTGAAAACTAAAATGGATTCCAAGTAATCCACAACGGGAAACTTACGGAATCCTTCGAAGTGAAAATGGGAGTAAGCTAAGGCTGGCTGGCTGCATACTATCGCCAATGATTTTCTTGGTTGCGGTAGACTGGATAATGCGACAGACAGTGGGCAATGAGGAAACAGGCATAAAATGGACTCACACAAAAACTTGAAGGATATGGACTTCGCCGATGATATACGTCTGATTTCCCACAAACTGGAAGACATGCAAATGAAAAGCAACAAGTTGGCAGAAGAAGCATCACAGATGGAAAGGACTTCAAGTAAACATAGAGAAAAAAGAGGTGATGAAGATTCCTTGCCAATACCAACACCAACAACAGACAACGATCAGCATAAATGGGAGGAACCTGAAAGAAACGACCTCCTTTACCTACCTACCTGGGAAGCATCCTTTCAAATACAGGCGGAACTGACGAGGATATTAAAGCGGGGATCGGAAAAGCAAAGCAAGCTTTCATTACTCTAAAGTCTGTGTGGAGGTCAAGAGCGCTCTGCATGAAAATGAAAATAAGATCGGGATTTTCAACTCCAATGTGAAGTCAGTGCTAACTAGCATGCGGATCAGAGTTTTGGCGCCGAGTCACGAAGGGAACTTCTAACAAACCACAGACCTTCATCAACAGGTGTCTTCGCTCAATACTCAAGATCAGATGTCCAGAAAAGGTCAGCAAAAGGCCACACCCTCAGGAAACCATCAAGTGACATCACTAGAGAAGCCCTCGAGTGTAACCCGAAAAGGAAGCGGTGAGTTGGTCGGCAATGCAAGGGTGGCTTGGAGGAGGTCACGTGAAGAGGAGATGAAAGCATGTGGGCAAACGTGGAGCCAGGTGTAGACATGCGATTCGCTCCCGCCAAATGCAAGATGATGTTACAGGACTGGACTACATCGACGCCTAGTTTAAAAATAGGAAGTGAAGTGGTAGAGCACGCTGACCGCTTCACTTATTTGGGAAGTACCATCAGCCCAACGGGCTGATCTCTGACGAAATCTCAGCACGAATACAAGGAGCTCGTTTCGCATTTGCCAGTTAACGCCGACTCTGGCGTAGACGAGATGTTCGACTATCGACCAAACGGCGGGTGTACTGCTCATCAGTCCGCTCCGTCCTCCTGTATGGTTGTGAGACCTGGTCACTGAGAGTGGAAGACATGAAAAGACTAGCTGTCTTTGATCATAGGTGCCTGCGTTCTATTTCCCGTGTAAAGTGGCATAATGAAGTGAGCAACATTGAGGTTAGGCGTAGAGTTCTAGGTAAACAGGGGAAATCAATCGACGAAGTCGTGAAGCTACAAAGACTGAGATGGTTAGGACATGTGTTACGTATGCCAAGCAATCGCGTCCCTCGACGAGCAATGTTAGCGGATATAGGGTCAGGCTGGAAAAAAGCTAGCGGCGGTCAAACAAAAACTTGGCACCAGTCAATGAAATCCACAACAGTTGGTCTAAGCCACGTAGAAAGGTGTAGACTTCCAGCCTGGGGTCCTCGGGACGGTAAAAATCTATGGTTGGAAACAATTGGTGACATGGCTCAAAATCGTTCTCAGTGGCGCAGATGCATCCACTCCTTGTGACTTATGATCTCCAATGAAACTGTTTTGTTTTTCTTTATTACTCCTTTGTCTCACACCTCTGCTCACTGTTTCTATTATGCTTTTCTTGTACTTTCTTCTCTTGCTTCGCGTGCTACACGGAGTGTGGCGACTTGAACTTCCGCACATTTGTGCAAAGTTCTATGTCGAAAATAGACAGACAGACAGGTGTAGACTTTAGCAGAGAACCGAACGCAATGGAGACGTGCAGCTGAAGCCCTATGTTCCTCTGGGAATTAAAAGGAATAACAATAATAATAATAAAATGGACTCCACACTTTTGTATTCGTCTACAATAAGTCGCAGAGTGCAAACACACGATACAATAGCCGTAATAATTGTTGGACATATGCAGGAAAGAAGGAAAGAAGAGAAGGAGGAAACATCACATCAAGACTTTGAGTCAGTAATATAGGCACTTTAGTTGTCTTCAAACTATGATATTAGATGGTTGGAAACAATGGGCCACAGGAAGCCTTGCCTGACCTAGGTTTCGTGCTAGTTGGCACTCGTCAGCAACCTTGAAGGAACTCAAGAACCTTACTTACCTAGAATGGTGGCCACGTTGCTAATCTGACTGTGATAGAATTCAGACTGCACCAAAGAAAGGACTAGACATATATCAAACTAACATATCCGTAACAGGTAGCGGAATTTCAAATTTACTTCTCAGAAGCTCCAACAGTCATCTTTCGGCCGCACACTGAAATCTCCTCTTAGGCGTATATATTGTGTGACAGTGACTTTATAAGTAATGAACACCAACATTTTGGAAGAAAAAAAATCTCCACATAGAAATGCTGCTTTATATAGATAGACTAGTCTCAAACACTAGCTTCGGTTGCCTTACCTTCTCCAACAAGCTGACGATCACTATAGATACCAACTTGAAAACAAGCCAGAACAGTATTCATACTTGACTGGTAAATTAGCCTGGAAAAGAAAAAAAGAAATAGGTAATTGAATGGTAAATGGAATTTAATCAAGATTAGATTTGAAACCTGGGCTCTCAGTACAGTTCCGTTTGGCAAACTGGACCGAACTTCTTCATAAGTTAGACATGATTACATAAGATTTTAAAAATATGACTTGTAAAATATCTACCACATAGAATTTGTAATTTATTCATAAGTTTCAAATTTCTAGAAGCTAATTCACATTAGAGAGAAAAACTGTAGTGTGGATATTTCTTTAAGTGGACTATTACTGAATTTCAGTCAATTAGAAAATCTGCTTGTGCATCGGTGGCATAGCGGTTAGGACACTCGCAGACCATGCATATGGTCCGGGGTTCAATCCCCGGCTGACGACGCACCCCTTAACTCGCTAAGCCAGAAATAAAAGCTGGCAAAGAGGAAAAGGTTGGGCATGAGGCTAGCAACCCCATCCTGTAAAAATAAACACTGCTACATAAACTTCAAGCCACTAGTTTGAAGCCCTATGCTCCACTGGGAACGTAAAGGAATAAAAAATAAAATCTGCTTGAAGCTGGCACACAATACCAACCATTCGTTTTTAGATGAACACTCTTCACATGTGTGACTAGATGTTTAGTCAAAATTTATGTCCACATAGTATTCAATAATTGAACTTAATCTATTTTGGTAATGAACCAAGTCTACAAGGTGAAAGATAATAGTTTTATCTGCCCAAACATTTACACAATAAGTAAGCTTCCAACTTGTGACCTACTAATTAGAAGTTGGATGCTCAAGCCAATGTGCCACAGCAATCGAATTCGGAAACTCCTAATACAAGCTTCGTACATTTCTCAGAAAGAAACTACAACAACAACGTTTACGACGGAGTGAAGTGAATGTCTCATATATATATATATATATACAAAAGCCTCACTGAGTTCTTAATTATTTGAACAAAGAGATATTTCACTTTAACCCAATAATACTTAACTTTTTAAAAGTTAATCTGAACGAAGAACATTCTTTTCAGGTCCTTACAATTATACAATATAATATTTATTGTCGTTACAATAAAGGCCAGTTATGCGGCAGATACATTTTTTTAATGCAGAATAACAGATTAGTTATTGGGTGTCAAAATAAATAATCGTATTTGTGTGACAAACGCGCTAGGCTGAAATCGATTAGAAAATATTGTAAAACGGGAGACAATGGTGATGATTAATCATAATAGATTTGTAGAGTGTGGGGTAAGAAAATTGACAAGTCAGTTCAAGGTTATAAAGGTGTCAGATGAGTGGCTAGTAAAAGTGGTCTGTGTTAAACAGGAGATAGTAAGACTGCAATGGGAAGCTCATAATGAAATAACGAATATGTGAAGTGAAACAGGCGGAGGCATATATTGAGAAAAGAGGTAATGTCACTAATAATAATTCCGGATAATATAAATGAAGAATTCGATAGTATTGAGGGAATGTTTGCATGAAGGGCATAAACTATGACGAATAATAATAATCGTAATAATAATAATTTTAATTATAGTTGTAATAATAAATAAAGGAGAAAAACCAAGAGGGTTAAGGGAAAGGAGCACTCTTGGTGAGAAGAAGAACCATCAATCCAAGTTTGGCCACGGTAGGAACAGCGTTTGGACGTCTTCTTTTTGGATACAAAGTTCCGGTTTAGTCTATCTTATTGCAGCAGCTTAAGCTATGTGTAGGAGACGTAAGCGAACTGTAAGTGATAACGATTTTGGAAGTAGGTATATAACCCTGAAAGCTGTGTTGACATCAATACGATGTCCAGTATCGACCAAGTGTGACAAGATCGAGTTTTTATGCACTTAATTTCCCCCCTGCTGAACCAAGCAGGTAAATGTTCTCGAACCCGTAGACGAACCTGTCTAGTCGTGCGCCCTATATAACTTGAACCACAGGAACAGTTGAAATGGTATATGCATGAAGAAGAGCTATGGTTAGGTAAGACATCTTTGAGTTGTAACGACAGCAAAAATTATATTTTATAATTGTAAGAACCTGAAGAGAAATTATTGAAAAGAATATTCTTCGTTCAGATTGTCTTGTTGTGAACTTTTCTTATAATACGTATCTAGTCATATTCATATCTCTACCGCTATTAACACTCTTTTTTTCCTTTATATGTTTAAGCCATTCCGGCTTCATTGTAAAATGAATAAAGCCTAAATTCTTGGTTCATTCGTCTTTTCAAGATTCAAGCATCACTCATCGTTCTAAGACTCAATCACCTTCGTAACAATTTATTCATTTTACAATATTCATGGAACGATTTTTCCGACCTGATCGGTTCGACGTAGAACCTAACGCAGTTGGAGCTGCCAAGAAGTGGGATCACTGGTTTGCGACTTTTTCCTACTTCATTGAATCAATGGGATCCGAAAATCCTTCGAAACTACATATTCTCTTCAATCATATTTCTACTTCTGTATACGAATGCATTTCTGAATGCAAAACATACGAAGAAGCTATCGACACTCTCAAGAGTCTCTACATGCAGCCTTGCAACGAAGTGTTTGCTCGACACTTGTTAGCAACGTGTAAACAAGAATCTGGCGAAAATCTGGATCAGTTTGTTCGTCGACTCAAGTCGCTGACTACAGATTGTTCATTCAGGGCAGTTACAGCCGAAGAACATCGTAACGAATCTCTACGTGATTCATTCATCTCAGGTATACAGTCTTCGATGATACGCCAGAGGCTATTAGAACAGCGTACTTTAACTTTTCAAGCGGCATACGATCAAGCACGAGCTCTAGAGATGGCACATCAACAATCGCAGTCATACAACAATCCTGTTACACCTTGCGCGTCCATTTCTTTACATGATGTACCTCATTCATCAGATTCCACACCCTCCGTCAATGAAACAACCATTGCTGCCGTTGAATCCAAATGCTTTTTCTGTGGTAATCGTAGACATCCTCGTTCCAAATGCCCCGCCCGTGATGCAGTTTGCAAAGCTTGTGGCAAGCAAGGACATTTTCAGAAGGTTTGCAGGTCTGCGCCATCTACGAAAAAAGGTCCATCTTCAGTTAACTCTATAATTTCATCTCTCGTTGTGGCTTCAGCACCTCAAAGTCTCACTGATGCTGTTACGCAGCTTACTGTCAATGGGAAATCAATGCAAGCTCTAGTGGATACCGGAAGCAGTGAGAGCTACATCTCTTCCTCAGTTGTTCGTAAGTATAACTGGAAAGTCCATAAGTCTCGAAACAGAATCACAATGGCGAGTACGAATCTTACTAGTCATACTGAAGGACATTGTCTTCTATCCATCTGCTATAAAAACCACACTTATGATCTATTCAAATTTTCCATTCTTCATAATTTATGTGCAGACGTCCTTCTTGGACATGATTTTTTAAAACTTCACAAACACATTGAGATTCCTTTTGGGGGATCAAAGCCGCCTTTTTCTCTCTGTGGTCTACCTTGTGTTCGCGTCGACCTGCCTACCCTGTTTGAAAATCTTTCAAAAGACTGTAAACCGATCGCGATAAAATCCCGGCGTTATTCTCGTGAAGATGAAAGTTTTATTTCCACCGAAGTCAACCGGTTACTGCAAGAAGGTGTTATTGAACCTTCTAATTCTCCTTGGCGAGCTCAAGTTCTTGTTACGTCAAACGAACGCCATAAAAAGAGGATGGTAGTTGATTATAGTCAGACAATCAATCGATTCACTTTTCTGGATGCTTACCCATTACCTAGGATTGACGAAATGATAGAAAAAATCGCACAATATGACATATTCAGCACTCTTGATCTGAAGAATGCTTATCATCAAATTGCCCTAAGGAACGAAGATAAACCATATACTGCTTTCGAGGCTTGTGGGAAACTTTACCAATTTTGCCGAATTCCTTTTGGTGTTACCAATGGCGTAGCTTGTTTTCAACGCATTATCGATGAATTGATCAGTAAAGAACAACTCACAAGCACGTTTGCCTACATTGACAATGTCACTATCTGCGGCAAAACTCAGGAGGAACACGACAAAAATCTAAACAAGTTTATGGTAGCAGCACGCAATTATGGAATAACCCTTAATGATTCCAAAAGTGTGATCTCAAGCAGAAGCATACAATTACTCGGTTATGAAGTTTCAAAGGGGGTTATTAAACCAGATCCCGATCGGCTAAAACCTCTTCGTGATCTAGAACCACCCACAGATATCAAATCTCAACAACGGGCCGTTGGATTATTTGCTTATTATTCACAGTGGATCCCTCGCTTCTCAGATAAAATCCACCCATTGGTAAATAATCGGATTTTCCCTCTTGATATCGAAACTCGAAATGCTTTTGACAAACTGAAAGACGACTTAGAACGTGCAGTCGTTGTGGTAGTTGATCCGAAAGCACCCCTTGTTGTTGAAACAGATGCTTCAGATGTCTCAATTGCAGCTACATTAAACCAGAATGGTAAACCTGTCGCCTTCTTTTCTCGAAGCCTCTCTCGAAGTGAGAAACATCATTCATCGGTTGAGAAAGAAGCCTATGCCGTGGTTGAAGCAATTCGTAAGTGGAAGCATTACCTTCTCGGAAATCACTTCAAACTTGTCACTGATCAACGTTCAGTAGCATTCATGTTTGACAAGATTCATAAAGGCAAAATCAAGAACGATAAAATAATGCGTTGGAGAATTGAGCTATCCCCTTATCAATATGACATCATTTATCGTCCTGGAAGGGATAATCAAGCTGCTGATACATTTTCCCGTAGTTTCTGCGGTTCCTTGCAGTCAGTGTGCGACTTGAAATTTCTCCATGACTCTATGTGCCATCCTGGAGTTGTCCGAATGATGCATTTTGTACGCTCGAGAAACCTTCCATTCTCCCTTGACGAGGTGCGCAATGTAACCAGTAAATGCGTGACATGCTGTGAGTTAAAGCCTCAATTTTACAATCCCTCTAATTTCAAACTCATAAAAGCAACCCAACCTTTTGAAAGGTTAAGCATCGACTTTAAAGGACCTCTACCGTCAGCTAGCCGCAATCACTATCTGCTCACGCTGATCGATGAATATTCTCGATTCCCCTTTGCATTCGCCTGCCCCGACATGTCGTCTCAAACGGTAATGAATTGCCTTTGCCAACTGTTTTCGATTTTCGGTATGCCTTCTTACATACATACCGACAGAGGAGCTGCTTTCATGTCTACCGAATTACGGGCATTTCTTCTGGAGAAAGGCGTAGCAACCAGTCGTACTACCTCATACAATCCTCAAGCCAATGGGCAGGTCGAGCGCCTCAATGGAACACTTTGGCGTGCCATCACTCTAGCATTAAGATCACGGGGCCTACCAACGGCACAATGGGAGTCTGTTCTACTCGACGCCTTGCCTCCAAAGCCTCAGGATGGTCGGGGGTGGGTGCCTTGCGCTGCGGGTTGGCCACCCCTCCGCACACCTCTTGAAATGCTCCCATATGACCGGGCGTCTTACATAGCCTCTCCTGAGGAAGTCCTACTCACTGCCTTCACGTGGCGGAGGTGTTTCTCACCAAAGTAAGAGGGCGAAAGCGGATGCCCGGCGCTCTCCACCGGGTTGACTGTCCATTGGATGACGGTCTAGGGGAGATGGCTAAACCCTGATTCCAAACCTCCAACGATTGGCGTATGAAGCTCACTGGAGCTCACCGGCAGACGTATGGACAAAGGGCTTGTTGGATGTCCTGGATGTCTGGCCCCATTCAGAAAGGCGTATGAACCGAACTCCGGTCACCGGCTGCCAATGGATAGTGGACTCCTTACTCCACTCCTACTGCCTTGTAGGTCACACTTGGCTGTGTAAAGGCTAGAGCTGCACTCTCAAACAAAAGGCCGAGCGATGCTGGGGACATCACTCGTACCAAATTCCCATGAAACTTCATGAACTCTCTTACAAATTGCCGCGCCTGGGCAGCGATGATTCGAGACGTTCATGAAGCCGGCTCATCCTCCCGTAGGAGATAGCCGAAGTAAAGTAAAGTAAAGTATTCCATCAGATCTTTGCTCTGTACTGCAACGAACGCCACGCCACACGAACGACTGTTTACCTATAACCGAAGATCGACATCTGGGACAACTCTTCCTACTTGGCTCACTGTACCAGGACCAGTACTTCCCCGGCGGAGTGTTCGTCAGTCCAAATTCGATCCCCTGGTTGAAGAGGTGGAGCTATTGAATTGTAACCCGCAATTCGCTCACGTTCGCTTCGGTAATGGACGTGAAGATACAGTTGCTCATCATCTGGCACCCAAAGGCGAAGATATAGATCAAGTTGAAAATTCAATACCGGAGGGCGACGCAATTCCTGAGCAACAAGTAAATGGGGATGCGACCACTGATCCTAATATTCTTCGTGAAGAAAATACAACTGAAACGAACAACTGGCGTATTCTTTTGGAAAAACAACAACGTGTACGGCCTTACAATTTGCGTACCAGAGAAGCGTGACATAATGGCTCATTCCTTTTCAAGCCGTAGTGAATGTTGTGAACTTTTCTTATAATACGTATCTAGTCATATTCATATCTCTACCGCTATTAACACTCTTTTTTTCCTTTATATGTTTAAGCCATTCCGGCTTCATTGTAAAATGAATAAAGCCTAAATTCTTGGTTCATTCGTCTTTTCAAGATTCAAGCATCACTCATCGTTCTAAGACTCAATCACCTTCGTAACATGTCTTTTAATCCATATTATGGGAATATTTCACACTATCAAAACTTAACTTTTTAACATAAGTTTATGACTGTGAATCACTATTAATATTATGGTAGGTTTTTAAAGAAGTAACATAGTCTAGTGTTTATTATTAACACAATTAGTGTTTGTAGCTTACCTGGTTTCAGGTGGTCCACGTCCTTCAGATTTAAGTATGCCTTGTAGAAGAGTCAGCGGTTCAGGAATGGAAACCAATTCAGTCAAATCCAAATCACCTAGTCTCGCCACAATAAAATCCCGAATAAATAAGTGTGCTCTCTCCAACTAAGTTAGGATAAAAAAAGTCATCGGTACGTGTTTATACACACATATATATTGTTCGAAAAGCATAAAATATTAGTGAACATAATTAAAAATTTAAAAGAAAAGTGTGAATCTTAAGTTATTAGGGAAACTCAACTCAACCAAATAACTTGACATTAACATATAGTGGAAAATTGAAGGGTGTAGTAAAACTCATTTCACTGATAACTGCAAAAGGGAAAAAGAGAGAGACATTTATGTCGATATCTACAGATCTACCAGAAAAAGTCTTGCTATCAAACAGTGGTATTTACATTGCATCAGTCTATCGTTTGATCTTGACTACTACTTATTATTATGTCCTTTAATTCCTAGAGGAACATAGAGCTTCAGCCGCGCGTCTCCATTACGTTCGGTTTTCTGCCAAATTTTTCACTCCGCTCCAAGTCTGCCCACATGCTTTCATCTCCAAATTACATGACCTCCTCCTCCAAGCCACCCTTGGACGACCAAGTCGCCCCTTCCCTTTCGGGTTCCACTCGAGGGCTTGTCTTGTGATGTCATTCACTTGATGGTTTGTTTTCTCAGAGTATGTCCAATCTATCTCCATTTCTTCCTGCCTATTTGTTTCACAATCGGTTCGTGGATGGTTTGCCCATTGCCAGAGACCCCGGTTGCTAATCTTTTCTGGCCATCTGATCTTGAGTATTGAGCGAAGACAACTATTAATGAAGTTCTGTAGCTTGTTTGAGATGCTCTTTATGGCGTGCCAAGTCTCTGGTCCGTATACTAGCACTGACTGACTGCATATTGGAGTTGAAAACCCGGATGTTATTTTGATTCTGAGTGCTGTTGACCTCCACACAGACTCGAGAGTAATGAAAGCTTGTCTTGCTTTTCCAATTCTCGCTTTAAAATCCTCACCAGTTATCTCCGCCTGTCTGTCTGTTTTCGACATAGAACTTTGCACAAATGTGCGGAAGTTCAAGTCGCCACACCCCGTGTAGCACGCGAAGCAAGAGAAGAAAGTACAAGAAAAGCATAATAGAAACAGTGAGCAGAGGTGTGAGACAAAGGAGTAATAAAGAAATACAAAACAGTTTCATTGGAGATCATAAGTCACAAGGAGTGGATGCATCTGCGCCACTGAGAACGATTTTGAGCCATGTCACCAATTGTTTCCAACCATAGATTTTTACCGTCCCGAGGACCCCAGGCTGGAAGTCTACACCTTTCTACGTGGCTTAGACCAACTGTTGTGGATTTCATTGACTGGTGCCAAGTTTTTGTTTGACCGCCGCTAGCTTTTTTCCAGCCTGACCCTATATCCGCTAACATTGCTCGTCGAGGGACGCGATTGCTTGGCATACGTAACACATGTCCTAACCATCTCAGTCTTTGTAGCTTCACGACTTCGTCGATTGATTTCCCCTGTTTACCTAGAACTCTACGCCTAACCTCAATGTTGCTCACCTTATTATGCCACTTTACACGGGAAATAGAACGCAGGCACCTATGATCAAAGACAGCTAGTCTTTTCATGTCTTCCACTCTCAGTGACCAGGTCTCACAACCATACAGGAGGACGGAGCGGACTGATGAGCAGTACACCCGCCGTTTGGTCGATAGTCGAACATCTCGTCTACGCCAGAGTCGGCGTAAACTAACATGCGAAACGAGCTCCTTGTATTCGTGCTGAGATTTCGTCAGAGATCAGCCCGTTGGGGCTGATGGTACTCCCCAAATAAGTGAAGCGGTCAACGTGCTCTACCACTTCACTTCCTATTTTTAAACTAGGCGTCGATGTAGTCCAGTCCTGTAACATCATCTTGCATTTGGCGGGAGCGAATCGCATGCCAAACATTCGTAGATTGCGGCTCAAGGTGTTTAGAAGACTCTGCATTTCGTCAGCGTCTTCGCCTAGAAGGACTATATCGTCTGCATATTCCAAGTCAAGGAGATTATTCCCCGGTAGCAAGTCAATTCCTGAGTCACTGAAGTCACCTAGGGTTAAGTCCATTAACACATCTATGATGAAGTTGAATAGAAAAGGAGATAATGGGCATCCTTGACGGACACCACTGGTCGTCATCAGTTCAGATGACAGCTCGCCGTAAGCCCTCACTTGGCTGTATGAGTACGAGTAGTTCAAAACAATCCTTCCCAGGTAGGTAAAGAAGGTTGTTTCTTTTAGGTTCCTCCCATTTATACTGATTGTTGTCCGTTGTTATTGTTGGCCAGGAATCTTCATCACCTCTGTTTTCCCTATGTTCACCTGAAGTCCTATTTTCTCCCGATGCTTCTTCTGCCAACTTGTTGCTTTTCACTTGCATGTCTTCCAGTTTGTGGGAAATCAGACGTATATCATCGGCGAAGTCCATATCCTCCAAGTTTTTGTGTGAGTCCATTTTATGCCTGTTTCTTCATCGACCGTTGTCTGCCGCATTATCCAATCTACCGCAACCAGAAAAATCATTGGCGATAGTAGACAGCCTTGCCTCACTCCCGTCCTCACTTCGAAGGATTCCGTAAGTTTCCCTGCTACTGAGACACACCAAACAAAAAAGAACGAGCAAAAACAGGCCGCGTGTGACCGGCCTCAAGCAGTTGTCCCCTGGGCTCTGCGGTCACGCAACCAACTTCCACGGTGTGGGCAGCCGGGAAGTAACAATCGCCCTCACAATCCGAAATGCACACGAAACCTCTCTATTACTCACTCATCTTTGTCTTCATCATCATCTCTATCATCTTGCCTTCCTTCCACTGATGCAACTCCTCGACTTGATAGCTCTCCACTTCCTCTCCACTCTGCGTCCACTAAAAACGATGGAAGCCAAAAAACCACCACCGACAGCCTCTTAAAGCCGCGCCACCAATTTCATATAGGAGCTCTTAATGTTAGGACACTTTGCCAAATAGGACAACAAGCATCACTAGCCAAGACCCTGGCATCACGAGCCATTGATGTATGTTGTGTTTCAGAAACACGCATACAAGACCCAAGTGTGGTTATTCACCTAACCCCACCTGGCCAACAGGTTGAATCTGCAAAATTCACCTTGAGGGTGTCAGGAGATGCCACAGCTAGTTCACGAGGATTAGCTGGCGTAGGGATAGCTTTGAGTACTAGGGCAGAAAAGACATTGCTTGACTGGATCCCGGTAGATAGCCGAATGTGTGCTGTCCGCCTGAACGGATCAGTAAGAAGGAGGAAGGACTGCACTACTCGCCGATGCCTTTTCGTAATCTCCGCCTACGCCCCCACTGACTGCAGTTCAGATGAAACGAAGGATGAGTTCTACCAAAAGCTGTCTAGTTTGGTGGGAAAGGCTAAACGCTCAGACATAGTCGTTCTAGCTGGTGACTTTAACGCTCAAGTAGGGAAATTGTGTCAATCTGAGAAGGATGTCGGTGGCACCTATGGAGCTCCGTGCCAGCGAACCGACAACGGTGACCGTCTCCTACAGTTCTGCTCTGATAATCATTTGTTTCTTGTAAGCACTAACTTCAAACACAAGGAGAGACACTGTTTGACTTGGAGACCCCCTTCATCAAACCAACGCTGGACACAAATAGACCACATAGCAATAAGCTATCGTTGGCGTGGGTCGGTAGGAGATTGTCGCTCCTTCTGGAACACGTGCGTAGATACCGACCATGCACTGGTCCGCGCTCGGGTGTGCTTACGACTGAACGGACGTAGGAAACAGCTGGCGGTAAAACCATCACGTCCCCAGCTCGATCAGGAAACTAAATCCGTATTTCAGGAAGAACTAGCTAAACACATATCTGTGTTCGACAGCTGTGCTCACCCTGAAGAAGCTTGGAAAAATATCCAGGCAGCCATAGATACAGCTGTAAAAGCTGTGAATAAGGTAAACCCAAAGGTGAGTAAAAACCACTGGATCTCCACCGCCTCATCCGAACTGATAGATGCTAGAAGACTTATTCCGGCGAGCTCCGAATTCAATGAGGAGCGAAAGCTGCACAAGAGGAAACTTACGAAAAGTCTCCGCAAGGACCGTGAACAGTGGTGGGCGACAAAAGCCAAAGAGATGGAGAAAGCTTCGAGGATAGGCAACACCAGGCAACTCTTTACACTCATCAGGGAAACGGGTGGGAGAAGACAAATCATTAGTGAGACAATCTCGGAAAAAAATGGCACTATAATTAGCTCCCAGGATAGACGACTGGATCGTTGGAAAGAGCATTATGAGGAGCAGTTTAATTTGCCCACAGCCACGCTCAACCTTCCGAGCATCCAACACCTCCCTGAATGGGATATAAACACAGGTCCTCCGTCACTAACTGAGGTTACTAAAGCTGTCACCAATCTGAAACTAGGCAAAGCAGCGGGACCTGATGGAATGACTCCAGAGGTATTTAAGTACGGTGGAGACAGCTTACTGTCCGGATTAACTGAGGTACTAGGCAGCGTCTGGGAATCAGAAGAAGTCCCATCGGGTTGGTGTAAGTCACTGATTATCCCCATATACAAGAAGGGAGACAAGTCTTCCTGTGATAATCACAGAGGGATTAGCTTGACTAATATAGTATCTAAAGTCTTAGGCTCAATAATCATGCGTAGACTGAGTGGTGCTCGGGAAGCACAAACACGAGAGAGCCAGGCAGGCTTTAGACCAGGAAGAGGGTGTATTGATCATATCTTCACCCTCCGACAGATTCTAGAACATAGGCATTCCTACCGGCGTCCAACAGTCATTATATTTCTTGACCTAAAGGCAGCATTCGACTCTGTCGATCGGGAAGTTCTCTGGAGATGCTTGGCTGTAAAGGGAATTCCAAGAAAATATATTGCACTGATTAAGGCACTCTACTCGTACTCATACAGCCAGGTGAGGGCTTACGGCGAGCTGTCATCTGAACTGATGACGACCAGTGGTGTCCGTCAAGGATGCCCATTATCTCCTTTTCTATTCAACTTCATCATAGATGTGTTAATGGACTTAACCCTAGGTGACTTCAGCGACTCAGGGATTGACTTGCTACCGGGGAATAATCTCGTTGACTTGGAATATGCAGACGATATAGTCCTTCTAGGCGAAGACGCTGACGAAATGCAGAGTCTTCTAAACACCTTGAGCCGCAATCTACGAATGTTTGGCATGCGATTCGCTCCCGCCAAATGCAAGATGATGTTACAGGACTGGACTACATCGACGCCTAGTTTAAAAATAGGAAGTGAAGTGGTAGAGCACGTTGACCGCTTCACTTATTTGGGAAGTACCATCAGCCCCAACGGGCTGATCTCTGACGAAATCTCAGCACGAATACAAGGGGCTCGTTTCGCATTTGTTAGTTTACGCCGACTCTGGCGTAGACGAGATGTTCGACTATCGACCAAAGGGCGGGTGTACTGCTCATCAGTCCGCTCCGTCCTCCTTTATGGTTGTGAGACCTGGCCACTGAGAGTGGAAGACATGAAAAGACTAGCTGTCTTTGATCATAGGTGCCTGCGTTCTATTTCCCGTGTAAAGTGGCATAATAAGGTGAGCAACATGGAGGTTAGGCGTAGAGTTCTAGGTAAACAGGGGAAATCAATCGACGAAGTCGTGAAGCTACAAAGACTGAGATGGTTAGGACATGTGTTACGTATGCCAAGCCATCGCCTCCCTCGACGAGCAATGTTAGCGGATATAGGGTCAGGCTGGAAAAAAGCTAGCGGCGGTCAAACAAAAACTTGGCATCAGTCAATGAAATCCACAACAGTTGGTCTAAGCCACGTAGGAAGGTGTAGACTTCCAGGCTGGGGTCCTCGGGACGGTAAAAATCTATGGTTGGAAACAATTGGTGACATGGCTCAAAATCGTTCTCAGTGGCGCAGATGCATCCACTCCTTGTGACTTATGATCTCCAATGAAACTGTTTTGTATTTCTTTATTACTCCTTTGTCTCACACCTCTGCTCACTGTTTCTATTATGCTTTTCTTGTACTTTCTTCTCTTGCTTCGCGTGCTACACGGAATGTGGCGACTTGAACTTCCGCACATTTGTGCAAAGTTCTATGTCGAAAACAGACAGACAGTAAGTTTCCCGTTGTGGATTATTTGGCATGCAGAACTACTAGTTAACTACTACTATGCGTGTTTTGAAGCTTCAAAGTTGCTCTGTCATAACACTGTCAATGTTTACACCCCATATTCTTTCAGTTTGAATAAGAGATCTTACTTCTTGAGCAAATAAACTGCAAACAACTAAACCTACTTACTTTTGCTTGATTTATTCAAATTTTCGTATTTGACTTAGTTTATATATATATATATATATATATATATATATATATATATATATATATATATATATATATATATCACCAACAGTCTTTAACCGTCGATTCCTCGCATTTTAGGACCGCCGAAACACATAGTTTACACTTCCTTGTTCTGTCAAAGAGACTTCATAAAAAATGGTACCATGTCCCATTGGATTGCGGCAACTTTAACTGCTGCACTTCTAAGCAAAGTTATACGTTAAAACTCAGTCTTGTTGTTTATCAACTAACAGTGCTAATCAAAGAAGTTAGAGGCTTGGGAAGCGTAACACTTTCCTTAGCTATTTCAATTGATAGACGTTTTTACAAGCTTATCGACGGAATATCCCCCCATAGCATAAAACTGCGCCTAACTTTATTACCACATGCCCCATATTGCTAACCTTAACACGAGAGGCTGGATGTGCGCACTTATGATCGTGAACTGCCAACCTCAATAGCACAAAGATAGAAATTTGGTAAAGTCAAAATTGCTATTGAGTGAGAGGAAAGGTAGCTGAGTGACAATTTAACAAGTGTGAATAGGGTGTGAAAATATACAAAAGGAACATATGAGAGGATGATAATAGTGAATTAATTATTAAAGCAAAAGTAAACTAAAAGTAAAAGAAAAAATTGAAATTTTTTGCAGGAAACGACTATTAAAGGGAGGTTAAGACCAAGGTAGAATAAGAGACTTTTTCTGTATACAAATATCGGGGCTGCATTGACTTTTGGTTTGCATTTGCTTTAATAATTAATTCACTATTATCACTCTCATGTGTTCCTTTTGTACATTTTCACACCCTATTAACTACCAACCTATTCATATCTTTTATTTCATACAATGATTCCCTTTTATAAATTTGAACAAAGGAAGAAGAAACATTGGCGCAGAATAATCTGCGTCCATTTTATTTCGTCGGTTCCCATCAGCTGCGTACAACCTGAATTCTTTAATAAAATAAAAAAGTGTACAATTTAAAAAAAACCTTTTGTCTATTAGCAAGCATATTGTCATAGCGTCATACAGATTGACGCAGGACACCGAGATGTGCTGGAATCATTCAAAATAATTAACAGACAAAGTACTTCAAGTCTTCTTAGGTTTGTTGAACCTATAGCAATAAAACCATTGAAGCCTGACTTATGTGTTCAAAAAGAATCCGTTGTTGAACTTCAACTACCCTGGTGACTCACTTCTTAGTAACTCTTTGTTTTCTAATCTTGTTAACTTATCTTTTCACTCCCCTCTCCCTTTATTTTTCGATGAATCCCTTAAGAGATAATGTTTTTCTTGGTCTTCTGAGTTCTGTTCACTGTATTACGTCATCAACTTCTCATATGACCTCATGTGCACCGAAATTGTGATCTTCTCTTATCTAATTACGTAACTATTACTAATTTTCTTTTGTTACCACCCCAACAACACAACTGTTAATTAATTTTTTCAAGAAGCTTCTTTCCAACAGGATATACATATGTCGTAACACTTTAGACACCTTGTAAATCACAACGCCTTATTTCACTATGACGCTCTGACAATATGCTTGCTAATGGACAAAGTGTTGTTAAAATTGTACACTTTTTTAATTTATTAAAGAATTCAGGCTGTACGCAGCTGATGAGGACCGATGAAATAAAACGGGCCCAGACTATTCTGCGACAATGTGTTTTCCCTGGGTCTCATTTAGTCTCCGCAGTGCTACGGAGCTTAGAACTGCACAAAATGTTATTCAGATAATTCCCCTGTGATATGCGTAAGGAAATTTACTACCTTTCTTATAAACCGGCCGGTAAAAATCCATGATTGAAAGTCATTCGCGTTCATCACATTAAGGTTTGAGTGATCCATATTCCTGACTAGCCAATGAACTCAAACCCACTTCAAATACTTAGGTCTATTCAGCCAAATGATATTAGTGAACATTACAAGACAACGTCTATCCGTCAGTTAGTGAGACCACTTTATCTTCTCATAAATTACACTAGTCCCTTAAAGATATGCAGAGTTCATTAAAAGATAACACAACATAAGTCAGTTAACGCATATTACCTTATCTTTTGCTAATGCACCAGTTAGCGCCATTAATGCATTAGCTAGTACATCCAACTCTGGTGGTTTTGACACAATTCTACTGCTTGAATTATCAGTCTGATCACTATAAAGTACTATATCTTTAACTCCCAAGTGTGCAGCTATATAAGCGAGTTCAGAAGTTGAAGTTAAGTGCTGCACAATATCCAATATCCACTCTTCAGGAAACTGGGGATATACTGAGCGCAGAAAAACGAGAAGAAATTTTTGAGAGACATCACGACCTATAGAAAAATTGAAAAAAAAAAAAAGAATGTTTGGAATTAGTTAAAGTTTTCAGATTCCATTAGGATGATTAGAATCTGGGCATAAATTTGACGAAAACCATTATACAATAACGTGAAAACCCCGATTATATATTAGTTTGTCTTTTCAATACAACAGACAGGAGAAACTCAATATATTCGATTTTTTTATTCTTTTACGTTGCAGGTGGAACATAGGGCTTCAAGCTACGGGCTTGAAGTTTCAATAGCAATGTTGTTTATTTTTATGGGATAGGGTTGCTAGCCTCATGTCTAACTTTCCCTTTTCACTAGTTTTATTAGTGGCTTAGCGAGGTGAAGGAGTGCGTCTGTGGTTGGGGATTGAACCCCGGACCGCCTGGGTGGTTGGCGAGCATTCTACAGCAGTGCCACCGGCACGCACATAATAGATTACGGACAATAAACCATATTCGGAAAGCTTTTCAACACAATACATTTTATATGATGAAACACTACATTCACCACAATGTTAGGAATTCGCCCTTTCATTAAAATTAAACCCTGCTGTTTAAAACGATAATTTTTTACTACTAGTCCAAAGAAGGCAGTTAATTAGGCACTAAAGAGGGTAACGACAACAGAGAAATACGAATCTATATTAAGTTGATGGTCAACAGTCGAATTATGTAACAAATGCTTATTAAGTATCACTAATTAACAAATTTTCCAAATTTAGTGTCGTTTTTGGTGCTGAGATGCAAAACAATAATGTTAACTTCTTGACACCACCAGAAATTTATCAGGTTGCTAACTGGATACAAATTTACTGCACATGCGATGAATGACTACTGTTCAAAAGTAATTAAGCAGAATGACTTGCAATTGACTACTCCAAAATTCTGTCACAGCCTTTTAACCCATGGACTCACCACGTCACAATCACGAAAGAAAATAAACCCTAATCTTTCCACTCCATATTTTGGTCACATTTCTGCACATTTTTGGAGCCTCGGTGGCACTAAAAATGCCAGATATAGCGTCTGAGTAGCACTAAAGTATTCATTTCACCAAACTGTGGGGCGTCGGTTACTGCAGTAACAAACACCCTTATACAACTATCCTCATGTCGTCAAGCTGCTATTTACCAGAATGAAAATGTTGTGAAAGTGTGGGAGCATGAAATTTGGAGAGATGCGAAATCCCGCCCCGCTCCCCTCAAAAAGAAGCCCCATTAAATCCCACTCCAAAACTTTAATGTGGGTTATAAGCTATGGAGACATATATTACTGCATTGCAAGACAAGGACTCACCTACAAGTGCGAGCTCAAAGTTGTCATGAAGTATTCTGTTACTCGGTTCACTTCCCTTTGCAGACCAGTATGAAGTATACGATCTAAATTCATGTTAAACATTTATGCTTACGAGATTTACTTGTCGGTCAAAACAACTTCAATATCGTTTCTGTCCATTTTTTCACCGATTCTGGACATGAATGCAGATAGTTCGGAGTCACGATTCCAACACATCCAGTCACTCCTGGGGCGAAATATCTCCGGACCTGTGCCAGTCTCCTCCTGTACAGATCCCTAAGATACGGGCGCACATATCTAGGTATTCTGGCAAACCGTACACCTATTACTTCAAAATAAGTGAACCACCCAGAACATACATGACAGCAGTACTGGGATATTACTAAGTAGGCGAGGCATATGGGGTGAAATTTACCCTGGTGACCTACAGCTTGAAATGTCACCAGTAGCTTCAAGGTCGGATCCAATATCCTGATTACGAGATAGTATAAACCAGTGATTTCTCTGAGCTCGCTTCTTGATTGTGAGGTAGAGGTTCCAGATCTTCGGTGAGCTTCTGCGTAGTAAGTCCCGCCACTCGACTGCTTTAGCTCTGGTAGACTCCAGGAGGAGTGGTGCGGGGATTGGTCGAGATGTGGTTTGTAGTATGCAGTATGTTAGGACTGTATTGCTGCCGTGAATGGAGTTTGACCTAACTCCCGTTGGTCATTCGGTGTAGTCATAAAAGCAGAATAGTAGTAATAATAATAAGAATAAAAATAATGGGTTGTAGTGTAGATAATATAGGTTGAGATAAGTGGAATAATAAAGGTGACCTAAGGAAAAGATAGAGTGAGAGAAGGCAGAATAGGTCGTGGGGATTTAGTTTGTACGCTTATCCATTGACAGTGTGGTTTCAAGTTTTATGAGGATAAGCCATTGAGACACAAACCTTGCATTTCTGCATGATTGTCTAGCTTCCGCTTAAAAATCTCCAGAGATGGCGCTGTAGTCACGGCCGCCGGTAAAGCGTTCCAGAGACGGCAAACACGAAGCGAAAAGAAATGTGATCGCACTCGAGTCTTTGGTCTCTGGTGTGCTATCCTTAGCGGGTTACCTCGTGGAAGCCTATAATCACTTAATGGCAGGATGCTTTTATTTGGGTGGGCCTGGTCATTTAGGATTTGGTAGACGGTGATGAGGTCTCCCCTGTGCCTACGGTAACTAAGTGTGAAAAGACCTAATTTCTTTAGTCTTTCCTCATATGATTTGTTGCGGAGGCCGATCACCCATTTTGTCGCTCGTCTCTGGACACTTTCTAGAATGTTAGCATCCCTTTTGAGTAGCGGAGGTGCAATGATATTATGCACCTCAAGGTGTGGCCTCACATATGCCTTATATAACCTTAAGAACAGTTCGGGAGTGAGAGCTCCCAGCTGCCTATGCATAAAGTGTAAGTTGCGTAGGCTTTGGCGACGTCCCTCGAGTAATTTCCACTGGTGTCTAGCTTTTCTGTTAGAATAAGACCTAGATCACGCTCTGATGGAACACAACTCAAGTTCTGGCCACCAAGGGTGTAATTTACACTCTGTGACCTGCCGGAATGAAGTTGCACTACTTTGCACTTCTTTAGGTTGAAAGGCATTCCGTTAGCCAGAGCCCAGTTTCCCAGAGTTTGCAGGTCAGCCTGCAATCTATCTGAGTCTTCCGATGAGTTTATTGCTCTCCAAATCTTTACGTCGTCAGCGTAAAGAAGCGCAGAGCAGTTTAGTTGGGAGGGCAGGTCGTTGATAAAAATCAAAAACATCAACGGCCCTAGGATAGAACCCTGAGGAACCCCTGATGCCGAGGTGTGCCAGGATGATCGGATGCGGTTGACTTTGGTGCAGAATTCTCTCTCGCCTAAGTAATCTTTCAGCCATGCGAGAAGTGCTCCAGAAACACCCGCCTTGCTTATTTTGTGAAGGAGCAGACCATGGTGAACTGTGTCGAATGCTTTCGCAAAGTCGAGAAAGATCACGTGGGCTGGTACCTTTTTGTCCCAGGATAGTGTCCAATCGTTCCAAGCTAGTAGAAGATTCGTCACGCAGGATCTTCCCCTCCTGAAACCGTGCTGTGCTTCGTGAAGAAGGTTAGTCCCATCGAAGTATTTTCTCATGTGGTCGTCAATGAGACTTTCCAATATCTTCGATATCACTGGAAGTAGAGCAACTGGTCTGTAACTGGTCGCATTCTGCCGGTCACCACCCTTGAAGATAGGGGATAGGATTGCTCGTTTCCATTCACATGGAAGTTTCCCTACATCAAGGGAGTGTTGGAACAGATCACTTAGGGGTTGGCAGAGACTTTCTGAACACTGCTTCAGGACAGATGGTCTGATGTCATCACAACCTGAAGACTTTCCCGAAGCCAACCTTCCCAATTTTGCAAGTACCATAGCCGGGGTAATTTGAAATGTACCCAGCAGGTTTTCGCGTGTTGGTTTTGCGATGTAATCTGGATGTTCTGTGGGGTAATATCCTCGTTACTGTTTAGTTGCCTGTGAAAGGCTAGGCTGAATGTCTCTGCCATTTCAAGACTAGTAAGAGATTTCCCATCAGAACCCACTAGATTGCATGCTCCCTGGTTGGTCGGTTTTCTTTCGGACATAAACCTGTATAGGCTTTTGGGGTTCACGAGAAGCTTATTGGCGAGGTCTCCCTGAAATGTCCTTCTATCGCTCCGGACTCGTATGTTACATCGATTCCTGAGTTCAAGGTACACTTCATGTTCGGGTTGACTCTTCGATCGTCGCCACGCAAACCAGGCTTTTCGCTTCGCCTGCAGAAGGCGTTGTGTCCCCCTTTTAGCCATGATCGTTGCTTCCTAGCTTTTGGTGTGACTAAAGGAACAGTGTCTGAGACCGCCTGGTGAATGATCTCCTTTACCACTCTCCAGTGTTCTTCTACTGTTAGCTCTGTCCATTTTTTAGGCCAATTTGCTTCAGACAGAAGTCTTCGCATTTTGGTGTAGTTGGCTTTGTTATAACACAGATAGGGCTGTGTATTGTCCCACTGTAAGCGCTCGCGGAGGACTATGTCGAATACTATGACCGCGTGGTCACTACTACCTATGGGAGTCGTGATCTGAACGTTTTCCACTAGTAGCTGGTCACTAGTGAGCACGTAATCCAGTCTAGAAGACTTCCCATCAGGGCCCCATCTAGTATCCATCTTGACATTTTCAGTGAATCCAGCCTTCCTGATGGTATGCAGCAGATTTCGATCAAATCTATCATGGGCTTTTCCCGACACCAAGTTAAGAGATGGGGCATTGAAGTCACCAGCTATGACAATTTGATCATAACCCATGTCTTGAGTTGCTGAGATTGTATTTAGCAGTACCTGGTTGTGGTCTGCTCCACATGAAGGTGATCGATAAATGCTGCCCACTAGATATTTGCAGTACCCAACGGTGAAGTGGCACCATATGGAGTCAGGGAGCTCTGTGAGGGGAGGGTCCATCGCGTGAACACATCTGAGCTGTTTGTCGACGTATATGGCGACTCCACCTCCTTCTTTCAGGTCCCTATCTCGCCTGACTAGGACCATATCATTTATACTGACTTCGCTGTCTGCCACCGTAGGGGTTAGCCAGGTTTCCGTCAGTATTATGATTTTGGAGTTCAGTTGTGATTGTAGGTGTCTAAGTTCAGCTATTTTGCCTCTTAGCCCTCTCACATTACTGTACAGGCAACTGGTAGTCAGTCTCACCACTTCCCCGTATTGGGGGGTAGTTGACTTGATATTGGCTATCGGTTGAGGAGTTATCCTACGAACTAGTTGGCCGATTCCCCAGGAACCGGCCTGTTGGCGTTTTTTTCTTCTAGTTCAGTTGGAGCACTCGGATGACACTGGCTATCATCGTCCGTGCTGCACCGCTGTAGTGTGACTAGGGGTTGAGGATTTTTTTTACTACGCTTTGTTCTCTCCTTTGAGTGCGAGGCCGGCTCTCGCAGCAGCGAATGTGTTTGCTGACCTTGTCCTTGGTCTCGTACCATCTATGGAGAGCGGTAGTCAACTGGTCTTGGGAGCTGAACTTGACAGCTAACAGACGTGGCGAGTTAATTGACATAAGATGAGTGGGTCGAGGCAGTCTATAAATAGAGACAGCCCCTGAACTTCCCAGGGCCATCTGGGATGCCAACCATCTCCATTGTTGTACATCATGACAATGCTTTTCGCAGGCGTTCCCAGTTACCAGTTCGGGAATGCCATGCACAACCATGGAGGCAGAAGGAATGAGCTCTGGCGACTCCCTCGCCATTTGTCTTTCCTTCCACGGCCTGTCTGGCTTAACACGTATGTTACAGGCCCTCCCTATAGAAAGGACTTGAGAAGCCAGTAACACTTTTTCAACATCCTCGGTAGAGCCCAATGTTACCCTCAGTGGGGATGGTTTGCCTTCAGGTGCAGCAGTGCCCCTATACAATCTGCATAGATTTACTGGTTGGATGTCCAAACCCAGTGTGCTACACAAGATGGACCACTGTTCCTGATCAAATAGGGCCCTATCTTCCAGCAGACTACTACTACAGTCTGGTACATTAAAGAGGATTACACAATTTGATCTACTAACCGTGGGCTTGGGCTCGGTCCTCGCACATTTTTGATCCCTTTAAGACCGTTTTGTTTCGTCTGGTGCGACTGGGTATTTTTGTGTGTCTCAGTGCCATGGCCAGTATTACTGGCAGACGATAGGGGCCTTTTTCCAGCGACAGAAACCCGTGGCGCTTCAGCCCCTGTGTCTGGAGCGGTTATGTCAAGAGTTACAGGTTTAACCGGTGAGGATTTTCGTATTCCCGGTTTACGTGCACTTGTGCTATTTTCCAAGTTGGTGGGAGTAGAACATTTCACATCTTTCCCTGCTACTTCTACGCCATCTTTAGTTTTCAAAGGACTACGCGAGGCTGCATCAGAACGGCAACTTGGGCATATGTACCAGAACCATGGGCATGAGTTCTTACTGATTGTCGCATCTACAATATACCCATCGCTTGCATAAGTTATATTAGATGGCAGAGTCTGCTTGTTCGACAACAGAATCGCAGACCTTGCAATCGTCTGCCTTCTTGGGGAGCGTTTTTGTCACCTTGCGACATCGTGAACGTTTCTTTCCGGCCCTCCCGTTTGTTTCATGGCCTCCCATGGAGATGGGTGTTATACAGTTCTCACTTAGTGCAATTTTCCCACTCGGCT